AGTTACTGTAGGGCTATGAGTTGCATGATTAAATATAGGTTATAGATAGATGTAACTAGAACAAGTATATGATTAAATATAGGTCACAGATGATAATTGAAATGAGTTATATGATCAAATATAGAGTATGGATAAGCATTTGTCTATAATATGCCAGACTGAATATGAATTACTAAAAAGTTATAAAGCAAGAGCCACTTTGTGCCTTATTTGGCCCTGAGAATTTCTGAAAAATCAAAACAGCTCTATTTAGGTTGCAAATGCAGTATTTATCCCTTGGAGTGATGGTGACCACGTATCTATTAATTGTGATGTAATTTTATCTCTAGTCAATGCACTATGACGTCATAAAATGCGTCTTTTCCCTCATATCCTGTAAATTCCTTTGAAAATAGCCTAAAGTTGAAGCATCTTTTTTTCAAAATTTCATAATGAGCACAATCTCTGATCCAAAATATGCAAGTGCATAATGAAAGACCTGTTTCTGAGGATCAAATAACATGTTTTATTTTTTGGATCGTGGGCTGTGCTCATATTTTAATTCTTTGCTGAAAGTAGTCAAATACGCATGTTTTCTGAAATTTCAAGAACATTGCAATTTCTCAAAGCCTGTTTTCCAATATCTGGAATCTAGGAAATGAAAGCACTAAGTGTCTATTTTATTTTGATGTTTGAAATGGGAAAGAGTGTGATAGCTAATTCATTGAAATAAGTACAGGGCCATTTTATGCATAAAGTGATCTAGCTCTTTGAATTATATCATACAAGTTTATACATGTTTTAAAGAAAATATGCATGTTTCATATTGAATTCTAAAGAGCATTACGTCATTGCAAGGATATATATACGTCACATTTAAATATTAAGCTTACAATTATATTAAATGGTAATCTATTGTTTTTGTGGGGTTTTTTTATCAAAAGCTCATATATCTGACAACTAACTTAACAACTGCTTCTCCCCAATTTCTCTTCCTTATGTTGGGGCATACCTTAATTAACACCAGTGTATGAGATTTATCCTTCCAATTGATAAGATACTAAAAAGTAAGCTCCAGGTAGCTAGGAAAAATGAGGCAAGCTATTGAATAAGTACTCTACTCCTGTTTTGAATTGTTTTATGAAGTTTTGATTTTGAATCCTGTTCGTTATCTCTAGATTTCATACTAAAGAGAAAGATCTAGGTTAGTTAAATGAGGCAAGCTATTGAACAAGGAATAAAGGGCTTTGTTAAACTTCAATATTCCGTAAGTGCCCTGGTCGATACATGTATGTACAACAGGCACAATGACCTTGTCATTATATAACACCTGTCATGAAGTCAAATGCTGACTGACGTTTTTTTTTTAAATATTTGCATACTGAGTTTTCTACATAATTTTCATTCTTTCCTCTTTTTGACAGGGAGCACACAGTTACGGGTTAATACCTATTCCTTAATCGCATCATTGATATTTTGTGACAACAGTGTATCTAATTCGTTTTGTTTCAAAGAACCTTCAAAATTTATGTTTGTCATCACGCTGTTTGTCACCTTGTTAATGAGTAATTATGTCAAATAATTAACGTTTAGAGAAATGGACCAAATAAAACATTTGACATTCTTTTCTCTTTAAGGCGTAATAATATGTACACTAATTACTGTCAGCAATTATATATCTACATGATGATTATATACGAAATTAGGAAGATTACTTTTAAATAGTGTCTTGTTTCATTTATCATTATTCAGTGTTAATACTGAAAATTATCCTGAATTTAAAGAAAAATTATATTATGTCTATTTAACGTATTTTATACTAACTGTATCATTTTTTGGGGTCTATTGCCTTCCATTCCAGTAATCTATAGATCTATAGCTATTGTAAACATATAGTTTTATAGATGGGTATTTTCCGTTACTGTATTTCCCGATTATGACAAGGAGCACAAGGGGGAGTGACTGGTCGGCAGGAAATGTTCTCTCCTCATAGGGCCCTGATCCCACCTCTCATGTTTTGGAGGCCGGTATTTACTCTTCTCCTATTTTGTATTGTTTTATGGACTTTTCTACCTCTGATGTTTTGGAGGTCCGTATTTGCTCTGCTCCTATTTTGTATTGTTTTATGGACTTTTCTACCTCTGATGTTTTGGAGGTCCGTCTTTGCTCTGCTCCTATTTTGTATTGTTTTATGGACTTTTCTACGTCTGATGTTTTGGAGGTCCGTCTTTGCTCTGCTCCTTTTTTGTATAGCTTTGTGGACTTTTGGACTTGAAAACTGTTCATTATCTCCACGTGTTTTATACATTATAACGCACCTATAGGATCCATATACGTTCATAAACAGTCGATCTTTGGAGGTTATTTTTATGTAATATATTTGTTTCTAACATACTACCTGAGGCAAACTAGACCACAATGTCGATATATTGATTCTTTTGTGTAAAATGTTTCTGCATGTAATATGTTACAACGCTTGTGTCACGATGTGACGAGATGACCAAGATAAAATAAGCTTCTGAGATAGAGAGGGGAGAGAGAAGAAAGAGAAAGAAGATACAGAGAGAGGAAAAGGAGAAAGAGAGGGGAGAGAAAGAGAGAAGAAAGAAAGAAAGACATAAGTGAAAGTGGAAAGAGAGAGGAGAGAAAGAGGGATAGAGAAGAAAGAAAGATTTATCAAATCAAATTATTAAGTAAGGACATACACAACGTACGTACATATGTACAACGTATTTTGATTTTTTTGTATTTTTCCATGGAGTTGTAGAATTTCAATTCTTAAAGGGATTGAGTTCTCTATTTTTATGTCTATATATAAGGTAAATAGGCTTTTGAAATGAATATTATATGCTACTCTAAAGAATAATATTCTCTTTCAAGAAAGAAAAACACAATTAGTTTATAGATACCGGTAAATTTACACTTGATTTTAAAATAATATGAATATGCATTAGCTGTTGTTTATTTAGACATCTTTACCTTTAAAGTGCATTTTATTAACGAAATATGTGGGAACCTTCAGCAATTCATAAAGAAATAAATATATAATATTTGTAAATTCATAAAAACATGAACAACAGCGCTTTATTCGTCAAATTTCATGAACCACGTGATAGTCTTTTTATAGATATACCCGCGCAGGCTTTTTAGTCGATGTGCCTCTAGAATTGTTAGAAAATAACATATATATCTCAAATCCTGCAAATAATGAATGTCATTTAAAAAAAACAGTTCTCTCTATAGTTTTCATTACCTATTCATTCCAATCTATTACAAATCGTACGAAAATAACTGTTTTGCTATGTGAAGAACTTGAAAGAAAAGCAAGATGTATTTGTGAAACATTAATGCCCCCGTTTGGCAACTTATGGCTAAGATTGAAATGTCTTAAATGCAAACGCAAGTCAAGTTTCAAGGTCAAAAGGCCAAAATTGTTATTATCAAGAGCAAAGACACTTCACAAAGAATACACCTTTGAAATACTAATTAAAAGCCCTTGTACCAATTGATCAAAGGTTTGTCCAAGATAAAAGTTATTTTTATGATGTGGGTCAAACCCTAGGATCAATATCAAAAGGTCAACAATATTCAAATATTTTAATATTCACAATGAATATTCATATGAACTATGAAAGTCCTAGCACTAACTGATTAAAGGTTATAACAGTGGTTCAAGTTTGAAATTCTTGTTGAAAGTGAGTTAAACTCCAAGGTCAAGAAGTCAAATTTTTAGGTACCCAAAGAAAGATTTTTTTTTTCTCAAAGAATACACCTGTATAATGCATGTATAAGAGCACTAGAAATATATAGTCCAAAAGTTATGGACAATTCTTATGTTTTTCCGGACAAGTTATCAGACAGACGGACAGGAAGGGCAAAGCTTTAAAACACGAAATCTTCGATTATAATGTTCGGAAAAGCAATTAATATTGGCTTCAACTTAAACCGAAAGATCAAAAGAATTCTATAATTTGACGTCGCAAAAGCTGATCGCCTTGCAAAAGCTATAAACCAAAATCAAAACCAAAACTCCTATTTTTTTAAAATGGTTTTTCCGCTAATGGTTACTTTTACCTTACCCAAATGACAATACAAAGATTTTTTGAAATAAAAATCATGTTTGCGTAGGAGGCAGCGGTGTGTTATATAAACAATAAAATGCTTTCTTTGTTTGTTATTACTGGAATGAACGGAAGCAGCTGTTGCAGAAAAAATACATAACCTGCGTAATCGGGTTATATAAATTTCATTCCAGTAATAACAAACAAAGAAAGACATGTTATTGTTTATATTTATATCTGTTTCAATTATCATTTTAAGTAGGATTAAAAATATTAATTATTGTGTTAATGATGCGAACGTCTTTGTACGTTTCATTGATGGAACGACCACTGATCAAGAAATCTGTACAGGTGATATGCCTAATGCAGTTCATGCAGTGATGAACGCAATGGGTTTTCTTAAGAAATAAAGAGGAAAATATTCAGTGAATGTAAATATACGTAAATAAATGCATTGACTTTTTTAAAGTGTAGACTAAGAATTGCAGAGGAATGCGCAAACATATTTGTCTTGATGCACTACATGTACGCGATATACTTAATTTGTTTGCATTCATCGTTGCAGTTTTGAGTCTACATCTGCAGATCTGTAGCATTATGGTTTTCTATACGTCTGTCTTTGACCATATGGTCAAAAACAAAAACAAATATATAGAATTATAACGCTACAGATCTGCAGCTAAGTCTACATCAGTTAAGATGTGTCATTATTCGTTGGTTTAGTAATTTATTGTAAATAAATTTAAAGAGTAAATGCATCTTATAAAAAAACATTCATCTATGATGGTGGTAATTAAATGAAATAAAAAGAAACTTATAGTATATTGGAATTACAGTATTTCTGTCTGTTTTTATACTGTCTATTTTTGGTACATCTCCTCTAAAACGTTTCTTTCAGTATTTTTACCTCATAGAAATTTCACAAGATAAGCTCAATTTTAAGAAAGATTTGCACATGGATTAGGAAAACACGTATATTTATTAAAATAACTCATGGTAAATAACAAAAATATCAGGAAAAAAGTGGTAAAAAGACAAATGTTAGATCGGTCGACCAATTTCTTTATCGTCATGACGTCAGATCACTCGATTAAACTCAGCTGAGTGTTTGAGTAAGTTAAGACAGGAACCCCTTTCTTGCGGATGGACAGATTCTGATTCTGATTTGGCCTGATAATTCTCTGAACTACAACAGGGAGTAGGAGGTAAATGTTATTACGTCATTTATTACGTCATATCTCTAGCTTAAACTCCGGATTCAAATGCCTCGCGCACGACGTCACGTTTCGAGCTGTCCTCCTCGGTGACAAATTGGACCCAGGCAGTAACAATATCCCGGAGGGGCACCAATTCATTATTGAAAAGTTTAAAGGCCTTTGTTACAAGTTCTTCGTTCTCATGACCGAACGCCTTGAAAGCAAAAATGAATTCGTTGAGTTCGATGGAGCGATCTTTGTTTGTATCGATGACGTCAAACATAACGTCAAAACATTTCTGCATTTGATCCTTGAAGGCTGCCTTGTCTTTGTTATAAGCAGTTGTCAGGTTGGAAATAAATTGCTCTTCGGAAATTTCTTGATCTTTTCCATTCAGGATGTATGTTGTCCACCAGTTCTGCATGTCGGTTTTAACAGAGTCGGCCTTGTCGCCCAGAAGATGGTGTAGCTCTGTAAACTTATTTCGGGACTCCTCGACGTCTTCCAGTGAGATCTTTCCATCATGATTAACGTCCAGGGACTTGTACCACATCTTCCATTTCTTTGTCAAGTAGTCCATTTTTGTGAAAGTTTCTAAAAGAAAAAACAAGATAATAAAAAAAATAGAAAAATTGTATAAACTTTACTTGTAAAACTTTTTGTCTTTATAGAGGAGATTTTAAAACTCAAAATGATCGTTCTCTTTAAGGTGACTAAATAAATATATCGTTAATCAGTTAATGATATTTTCAAATGAAGTCCTACAGTAGTTTGCAATTTAGTCATTTTTTTTTTATTATTTATGTTTTGTTTTTCGGCTTATTATGATTTTTTTTCTCAGCATTTCGCTGCAAAATGTATTAAATATGAATAGCAATGCAACAGCAGATGAATTTTCGATGCTATAACAGAAAAAGCAGTTCGCTTGAACCATTACTCAACTAGCTAAATAACCTTAATTTTTGCAGCAAAGTGAGTGTTTAAAAACATAATCCTTTAGGCTGTACATTTTTCTGTCAAGCATGCAGAAAAGGAATTGGCAAATCTATTAAAGCGCACATGTGCAGAGAGATATGCGTCCTCAGCATAATATGGAACTACTTTTATGACGTCAGTACACAAGGTCACACGTGGTTTGTGTTTTGTTGTAACACTACACGCGTCGCTTTCCATGGTCATGTTCGCTGAAACTGCAGCAAATTATTTCTTCTGTTTGACGTGAAAAACTTACAGACACGGGATAGATTTTCCTTGCACTGTTGATAGTGCTTATTCATCTATAATGTATAACATGTGCGGCAGCAGAAAGGCAGAATAAAAAAGATATTTATATCAGTGAAGAGCATGTCCAATAATGAGCCGTTATCTGCTGACTTCAGTTTGTGTTGATAATTAATTCTTCAGTAGTATATCAACATCGATAGAGTCAGTGATAAAGATCAGTGAGAGCAAGATACATATATTTTTATTGTTGTAGCCTCAGAAGAGGAAAAAAAAAACTATCGCTTTAAATTTAATAATTTTTTTTTTTTGAAATAATAAAATGAAAGCTTAGGTCCTTTAATGTGCAGACAAACATATATTACAGTAAGAATCCTTTTAATTTCAATTGAAAGAAGATATGCCTGTAATTAAGTATAGAATTTTACATAATTGAACCGGCAGTGTTAGTGGATTTTATTTTTCGTTAAACTGTAAAGGTCATTAACTAGATAATGCAATTGCAATGCATTTATTATTTTTTTTGAAAACCAGGAAAGTAGCAGAATATCGAAAACTTTTATTTTATAAAGAGTTTATAGACAAACTCAATGACAAAAGTGAAGATCTTGAAAAAAAATATCTACATGTATTCTTTTCCTGAAAAAGGATTCGTTTAATTTAATAAATTGTCACGTGAACATTCACATATAATATTGCATACTTCCATCTGTTTTTCACTACGATCAGAGGATGGTAAGCGGTTTGAACTTTATGTTTATTTTACATTATGGGACCGACAGACAAAATATTGACATAAGGTTATGATTATCTATAGGGATAACGTTTGTCATTTGTAAATATACAAGGAAATCGTAGGTTTTTGCAATGGATTGACGATTTTGGCTGCACATGCTAGTAAGCGAGACAACTCGTAGGCACCGAGATGTGAAACCAGAACTTGCATTTACAGAATTGAAGGTTTTTCTCTCATTCATGCGAATCAAAATGCCATTTTTAAATTTAGATTCTTGTATATTCTTTTGTTTTACATTTTGAAATACAACAGGAAGCAATGTCCAATTGACTTACAAATGTCCATCTATACATATTTACAGATAGCACATATAAAATGAGAATGTTGTTCTCCAGGAAATATAAAACATGCAATAATCTTTCCATACAAGACCAGTTGATTTGTTTTTCAAAAAATATATAAGCCCTGAGAATATAACAAAGTTACTCGACCATTAGAACGGATAAAAAAAAAAATTACATAACCTATATAAAAAGTAATTGGCAAAAAGATATGTGACAATATGTAGATATACCGAAAACAATTTCACACAAGCAAATAAAGACAGTGAGTGAGAGAAAAAAGTAAAAGCAGAAGCTAAATAAAAAGCATGCATGATAAAAATAGAAAAAGAGAAAATCGCGCAGTTTCCGGTCATTTTGGGGTTATCTCGCGCAAACGTGCATCCCGTCTGTTATATTTATATTGGTAATATCCCTTGGGGGGGGGGCAATATTGCAAGCTTGGTTTGTTTACCCCACACGGGCAGTTCGAGATCCTATACAATACACATGTACAATACTTACTGTACATGTACAAAACACATGTACAATACACATGTACGATACGTATGTATGACACATTAATTGATTTAAATAAATATAGAGCCAATATTTCTACATATATCAGTGATTAAGAATTATTTCAATATTATCTATGATAAAATAAAAAAAAAAATACACGGAAACAAAGCCGTGGCCAAAAGTAATTGATGCTTATAGATTGATGGAATTTGTTGTTTTATGTACATATTGGCTTTATATGAATTTACAGAACGTATGTGGACAAACTCAAAGTAAATGTAAAAGACTGAGCTGGACTTATATTTAGAAGTTTTGCGTTCTTCAGTTAGCAACAGAAAAATTGAAATAACACATTGAAATTTACTGTATTAAATGCTTCCGAGATATAACTTATCTGAAATAAAAAATATCTCTAGCTATTAATTCTGGTAATATAGATCTACTCAAAATATCATCCAAAATAAAATTATTCATTAGTTTCCGTGGAAATGCCCTAATAATATGCGTATAGCTGACCAGCGCAATGCGCGTACTGTGCTTCGTTTTTTTTTCGTCGAATTATCTTCCCTTGATAATTCCAGTCGCTGCCAACAGGGCGCGCGCGACGTAATGATTTCGCTGGCATAAGCGTTTCTTCAAGCACAAAGACATCCAAACAAAAGTAATGATTTACTTACCAATTGTATGTAGGAACCAAGTCACGTGAAATATTCGGACAAATCGTTGAACGGAAAAAATCTTAAAATCGCGGTACTTCATTAAATTCCAAGAGTCACGTAATACCCGAACATCACTGATGCATTGATATAAGAAATAAAACTAGAAGTATACCAGAGAGAGAGAGAGAGAGAGAGAGAGAGAGAAAGAGAGAGTAGATAAGTAAACATTGAAATCAAAATCAAAGTTATTAGGTTAACAATAGAAAAAAATTAAGATAAATTGAAAAGAGAAAATATAATATTGACCACACAAAATAAAGAAAATATTAGAAAACAAAAAGAAAAAAAATAATAAATACAAACAAAATAAATATATTTAAAGGGGGGGCACGAATAGATAAGGTTTGTGTTACATGTGTTAAGCAATATTCTAGTTTACTTAAGGTTCATCGATATCTTAATAGGAGAGATAACTCTAAATGATATAGATTACCATAATTCCTTGAAAAAACCATCACATTATCATGACATTTATGTCCAGTTTTGCCCCGAAATGTATCCAGAAGTTGTGTGCATTTTAATCATCAATTAGATTTCTTTTTGGGTAAGCATAAAGATTCTTGAGAAATTTTAAATGAGTGAGCAGAAGGATGATGGACCTTAATATGTAGATGTTACGGAAGAATCAATACAGACAGAACTATATCAGAAACTAGAACACGAAGGCTACTGTCGGGAAAGCTTATATTTCTCTGTCAGAATTTCAAATATCGCGATACAGAAATTCAATTTTCTTCGGCTGTAGAGGACAGTTGGTTATTATTTTTTGCGTGTGTATATATGTGATTGCTTTTAGAAAGCCTGCATTTAGTTCTGTACTACATTTATTGTTCAATTTAATGTAATGCCTTTGGTTCATTGATTTAAATATAAATGTACAATTTATACATATATATTTGTAGATAAATTAATACAAATTGAAAGCACAAATGAATATTCAACAACAAAATTATAACGTTTTTCATTATATGAGATAAGTGTAAATTAAAAACAACTTTCATTTCAAAATTATATTGGATCGACGTAGAACACTTCTTACGACTTCAAAAAATTAGCAGTCTAAGCATAAGGCTAAAACATTATCTTTCGGATGAACGTCAAAGTGAATTTTCTGTCTGTGTTTGATTAATTACTCCGCGGGTTAATTATACAGCATTTTGTCAGAAAGCAGACGTTTATTTTCCGCCGGTTTCCCTATCTTCTCGCGATCTTTTAACGAGATGTGATATACACGCGTTGTAACGCGAGCGGCCCTGCTTCTGTGGATTAACACCTTAATTCTTGCCATATGTTTCTAGGGAAGATTGTATCTCATACAGTTTATCGTTTTTACTTACTTTTATTTGCACGGAAATCTCTGGTACAAATTAATAACCCAATTTTTCTCTACCACATAGGATTACGATAGTATATATTAATATAGATATAACCCCCCCCCCCTTTACCCAACACACCGAAATTATTTAGGATATACTTCATACATGTTCTCATATTCTTATATTTTTCTTCTGCATTTCTTGTTTTTTTTTCTTTCTCCATCAACAAAACCTTAATAACTTCGCACCATCAAGCATTATGCATGTAATACTGCTTGAATATAGAAACTGTACAAAAATCGATGTAAAATATTGTTTGTGCTACATTGTAAGGCAATACGGACGCTTGTAATTTTGTATCGTATTTTTTAAATATACATCTTTATGTGGCAAGGTTTTTTTTCTCTTTTGTTTGTTTGTCTGGTCATTTTTTTTTATATTGGTTTATTATTGATGAATTAACAAAATCATTTCTAGAAATCGATTTCAATTTTGATTAAGATAAAAATATTTTCAATAAAATATTATTATTTACAAAGATGAAATTTACTTGATATATGAATACTGGTACTAATGATGACAAAATATTTTTTTTAAATATTTTCTCGTAAAAATATTACACATTTAATCTGTGTTTTAAAACGCTAGCAAAACATCTTGATTACATGGCTCATTGGATCGATATTCAACCGATATAATATGCTAAAAATTGCCTACACATATATATTGTTTTGACAAGAACACAGACCTTATTTCTAAGTAAAACAGAGGTAGGAGAGAGGTATATTAACAGTGTATGAATATATTTCAGTGAAATTTTATAACATTTTGTGTAATAGAAGTCGGTAAGGTATTTTGTGTTGTGTAGGTAGGGTGGCAAGGGTAGGGGTTGGGGTGAACAAAAGGGGGAAATTATTGAATTGTACTTACGAAGATTTTAAAAACCTAAAATAAGATAATCCTGTCGGGCCTCTGACGTTCGTCCCCTTAATGAGTTGATGTTCCTCCGCGCTCGAGTCAACGTCAACTGGAGGTTTGTGAAGAGACGGAACATACGATATAGAGACTCAGAGAGCGTATCAATCAATTCACGTATCGTATTGTATCTAGCTATACACCCCCACCTTTCATGGTAAAACATTTAAGCTGGGAGGCACGGATAGGGGGGCGGAATACTGATAAGATGCATTCTTGTCAAGAACATGTGCATATCTTAAGCATATTTTTGACATAAGTTAGTATTGTCGAGAGATGTATCTGATCATCTATTCATGGTGTTTGATTAAACCCCTTACCGTGCCTCATTGAAATTATTTCATTATGTCAATCAAACAATGTCGGGCGTTGATTGGACTTCTGGTTAACTTTTGACATCCCCTTCTTGTCTGGGTTTACTTGCTCCAGGGTTTATTTGGGGACATATAAAAATGTTCCAGCTCCATAATTAAAACAGTACCTAGGAATTTTCATGCGTTTTTTTCAGCCTTGGCCGACTACTAATTGAAGATCTAAAACAAGAATATACGGAGGAATCATTAACGCACACTCTCTCTTTCTCTGCCTCTTCACTGCCTCTCTCTCTTCTTTTTTCCCCTCTGCCATTCCCTCTCTCTCTGCCTTTCTCTCTCTCTCTGGCCTTCTCTCTCTTCCTCTTCTCTTTCTCTGACCCTCTCTTTTTCTCTCTGCCTTTTTCTCTTTCTCTTTCTCTCTGTTTCTCTTAGCCTTTTTCTCTCTCTGTCTTTCTCTCTTTTTCTCTTAGCCTTTCTCTCTAATTCTCTCTCTCTTAAATTCTAAAATTCTTTTTTCCCTCTTCCTCTCTCCCTCTCTTTTCTCTCTTTCTGCCTCTCATTTTCTCTCTTCTCTCTCTCTCTTCTTTCTCTTTCTCGTCCTCTTTTCTGACTCTATCTGTAATTTTGATATTTTTTCAAATATAATATTCAGAAATACATTATACCGATGTTGTAAAGAATTTAACGTATGTAAATCATATATAATTTAATGAATTTGATATTTACAGATGTTTATTATAGTGGTTTTTTTTTTTTTTTTTTTTTTTTTGTTTTTTTGTTTTTTTTTTGTTTTTTTTTGATATTCTGAAATACAATTCACCGACTGTGTAAAGTACATGTACTAAGAAGTATTAACTTTTATTAATGTATTTAAATCATACTTTAATAAACTTGATATTTACAGATGTTTTATTTTAGGCAGTTTGACACAATTAAACCACAGGAATTCGTGTACCAATCAATTTCACCATTTTTTTTTTCGTTTAATTAAAAAATATGTGATCTATATAATAATTATTATAGGTATTATACGTATTTTTTTAATTTACTGAAAATTTCGGAAAAATTGGTAGGTGCGCGAACTCCTGTGATTAAACAAATATTTTTCGAATCTTAAAGTTGTTGAAAAATGATAAACAGAGACTCATTTCCTAAATAACATATGAGAAGATACTGAGAGGGAAACCAACAATGCATATGACCAATAGTCTAGTCATGCCTACTTAGAATTCTGGGTAATTTTCAGTGGAAGATTCTGGGTAATTTTCAGAGTATGATTCTGAGAGATACAGAGCAGTAGTTTATCCCTGCCTAATTAGAAACATGTGCCCCTTCGATTTCTTCAGGGGCACAAATTTGCATGTTTCCACGCTTTTTTATCAAACAGTTACAACGTTCTTCTATTTATATTATTTGCTTGATTGATGTTATAATGCATGTTGTAGCATTATTTCTAGAGAGAACTAAACGTCAAACTCGCCTCAGCTATGTTTTTTTTTTTTCATTTTTGAATATACTTGATTTCAGAATAGGAAAAAATATTCTGTAAGAATATCGCGGTCATACAGTGTATTTTTGTCAAATCAAACGCAGAAAATACACAGACAAATTCATAAATGATTTCTTGGATTAGTTATTATCATGAGGGGTGAGGAGGGAAATCTGTAATACAATAAATAAATTTATGATGTTTCAAAGACTTCAAACAGCGTGCACGTTCCTCAATTTTTTTTTCTATGAACATGATGGAATTTGATCTGATACCTGTTAGTCTAAGGAAAAATCATGTCAAGCAGATCTCGGAAATTCTGAAGTGGTAATAATCATAACTAACAACTGTTTATTTATTTTTAACTCATTCATACAGCAAACATCAATCTCATTTTTAAAATTCAACATGTTTTTATTAATGTTCGCAGTGTTTTGAATAATAAAAATTGAAATCAATTAAAGGCGTTACCCGTAGATCTAAAGTTAGCATAAAAAGCGAAAAAAATTACTTCAAATGATTGAAATAAATTGGTCTGCCAGACCCCCCCCCCACCCGCACCACGAAGAAAGACCGACCACTGGCGAGTAATGATTATAGGCGGAATATATATAAGATGACAATAAACAGAACGTGTCTGCGTTTCAGGAGTCAACTTTTCTCATTACTCTTTAATTGATGTATAGATAAAAAAGATATTTTTTTCCCTATTGAATAAATATAAGTTGATTGCATAGACGTTGGGTTAACCTTCAATACTAGTACTGACAAGCACAAAGATCCGAAGAATAATAGAGAAGGGGAGGGGGAGAACATGGAGAGGGCGGCCTTAATTATTTTTTTTAGTATAGTTTTTTAATTTTTTTTTTTCATTTTTATTTCAATAAATCCAAGTCCTCCTACCTTCCCTGTTTTAAAGTCTTGCACTAGTAAATTAAGTGTATCAAAAAATTAAGAAAAAACCCTCCCCCCTTTTTTTTAATTACATGTAACCGTCGCCACGGGCCTGGCATCACCTGACCAAGGATATGTAGAATTTTCCTTATCCTCATATGCATATGTGTATAGAATAATAATCCATTTGCCTTCCATAATCGCTTCGCGGTTTATAAAGCGTAAACTGCCTAAACCCCGGTTATACAACAGTATAACTCAGATTGCTATTTAATTCGTTCTGATTCAATTCATTTGGCACGCTGAATCTAAAATAAATGGTTAGAAGAATTTCTCTTTGGAAGACATGACAGCGAACATCTTAACATGTAATGCTGGGGTACACTGTTCTGTATTAAACACACATAAACTGGCTGTAAAAACAAGGTTTAAGTACACCACAAAGAATCTATTAATCTTCGGTAATGAGAGAGACCAGCTAGAAAGCGGTCAAGCTCAGGGCGAACCTGCACCACGTGCATCGCATGCCTTGTAGCTGAAACTATAATTCACGTGTACTTTAGAGTACATACATAGGGATATTGCATGTGTGGCTCGTCTAAATTTAAAAATCTTTATATTCTATCTCAGATTTAAAAATAACAGGAAACATTACAAAGGGTTGAACACTCAATAAATATCCAAATATTTTCCATTATCCATTAAGGTAGGACAAAACATCCGTGGATTCTATTTTAACCCATTTCTTAAAAATTACTGGAGGAAAAAAGAATAATATTACTATATTGACAACAATAAATGATCCCTGAAAGAAAAATAATAAGTTTTGGCATATTTGCGTTATATTTTGTGAAAAAATCAGAGAATCCTATATATTGGTCACTTGGGGCTTACATTTTGGAATGTGTTTACGCTATCTAAATGCAATACAGTAAAACACGTTTAGTACGAACACGGATATAGCGAATTCACGGATATAACGAATTGTTTCTGGGTCCCCGGCAAAATTCTTAACAAATCTTTGTAAAATTTTACGGTTATAACGAATTCTGATATAACGAATTTACGGATATAGCGAACTGATTTTGAGTCCCGTTTAGGTTAAATATAATGAATTTTACATCTTTTATAACGAACTTTCAAAGATTACAAATTTTGAATAATTGAACTGACTTTATTTTCTCTCAGCATTTGTGTATAAAATTCAATTCATAATAAAACCATAATTATCGAAGGTATGTTTTGTATTATTTGCCTCCCTAACATATTTGATAGTAACACTTGAAGGAAAAGATGCATATTGCGAATTCGCTATATATGGTTATACGAATTCGTTATATGGATATAACGAATTACGGATATAGCAAATTAAATTAACAGGTCCCCAGGACTTCGCTATAACTGTGTTTTACTGTAAACAAGATGTAACAGTCTGTTATAAAATGCAGTGCAACTTTTGTTCCATAAATAGTAGAGGGGTGATATTTGGACACATATATAAGGAGTCTCCATTCTTCATGTACTACAAAGGTCAAGGTCATATCACGAGGTCAAAGGTCAAATATTGTGACGTCATCTACTGAATCCTTTAGTTTTTTTGCCATTGTATTATTTTGATCGCCAAAATATCTTAAACCACCGGGTCAATTTTCTTTATTTTTACACATTTTATTCTAGGACCCATTTGAATCATTCTGTTGATTTTTTGTAAAATTGAATCATACATTTTCTCCTTAGAAAACTTAAACTGTCGGATATTTACATCTGAATTTTCAGTTTCTGATACAACGTATGTTCTATTTTACTTAAAATTTTACCCAAATTTTCCAGTATTAATGTGACTTACTAATTTAAAGTAACAAAAAGGTTATCTTTATTGAAAGTATTACACAAATTTAGAATAGATCAATTGACAATTCTAAAATAAGGCTCATTCTCAAGTCGAATGTCTGATTTCGCAATCTTCTTACAGGGTTCTGATAGACCATATTTCAGACTATGTGGGCAAATAATTTCTTTCATATCATATATAAAGAGAGATTTTGTATCCAAGAACAAAATATCAAAGTTTCAGAAAAATTGAATTTGAGGGAAAATTTGACCTATCTATTTGGTCCTACATTAATTCATGATGTTAATTAGCGTTGAATGCACCCTAATCTAATTAGCTGACCTGTCTTAAAAATACTGACAGATATCTTTTATTATTAGATGATTATTATATTGAATTTTTATTTATTGACAAAAAAGATATGTCGCAAGTCACACGTCAAATAACTGTATACAAATAGAGTTAAAATAAATTTTCTTATGCTTAATACATCATAATTATATTTAAAGTAAACTAAAGTCTGCTGCCAAAAGAAAAAAAAATACTATATATTTACATTTTACATTGTTATATCTTTGAAATATTGTGCCTTTACAAATCT